TGAGTCTTGTATTTATAGGAAGAGTCCCTGGATGAGTAATCGAGGCTGAATTTACGCATAGTGGAGTCTGATTAGCTCAAGTGGGCAGTCCAATCGACATTTGGGATCGTGAAGTATGGTGGTGAGACCCCAGAAATCCCGGTGAATCTCGGCCGCCGCACTCAATCGTGGGTTCTGAACCTCTGGCCGTGGAGACGCATTTATTGCCTGGATAGCTGGTGAACCAACATCTCAAGCTGTCAGAATCCTTGTGAGAATGTCCACATCTAATCACTCTGATTTTCATTACCAAATCCTGACTTCAGTCACTTCCCACCTTTCCTCATGCATTAAATGCTACTTTGTGGCCAATGGGTTTGCTGCATTAAACAGGCACTACTTCATTAAATGAAGCCTGGGACCCTGTTGACACGTGATGATTTGCCTTTAAAGCCTTGGCCGCAAATTTGTTCGGCCTCGGCCTCGGCCTATGCTTGAGGCCGAGATGATCATGCCTTAGCATTTCCTTCTTTTATTTTTAGGAATGCGAAATACCCTGGCGAAACGCTGCGTATCAGCTAAGTTCTAGGGCCGAGAGAAGGGGCTCCTTCGGCCAGCTCATGGCCGAGATTTATCAGGCACAAACATACTTTTGTTGTGTTGTTAAAGGAGTAGCTTAACTTGAGGAATGCACTATTAATGAATGAGAAATTTTTTCATGTTCGATGTTGTGCTCACATTCTGAACTTAATAGTGCAAGATGGGTTGAAACACATTGATGATTCCATGGGGAAAATTAGAGAAAGTATTAAGTATGTTAGAGGTTCACAAGGGAGGCAACAAAAATTCTTAGATTATTATGCACAAGTTTCTTTAGATAGTAAAGAGGGCTTGCGCTAAGATGCACCCGCTAGATGGAACTCCACATTTCTTATGATTGACAGTGCACTTTATTATCAACGAGCATTTCTGCATTTGCAATTAAGTAATTATAATTACAAGTATTCTTTGTCTCAAGATGAGTGGCAAAAATTAGAAAAACTTAGCAAGTTTCTTAAGGTGTTTTATAATGTGACTTGCTTGTTTTTTTGGAACTAAATACGCTACTACAAAATTGTATTTTCCTCAAGTGTTTATGGTGGAAGATACGTTGAGAAATGCAAAGATTGATTCAGATGATTTCATGAGATCTATGGCAACTCAGATGATGGAAAAGTTGGATAATTGGAAAGAGTATAGTTTGATCCTTGCAATTTCTGTGATATTGGATCCTAGATATAAACTTCAGTTTGTCAAATTTTGTTATAAAAGGTTTTATGGTACAAACTCCCAAGAAATGGCTAAAGTTCACGATATGTTGGTTTCTCTCTTTGATTTGTACATGAAAATACATTAATATGAATTAGTTGCTAGTACATCAAGTACTTCAAATGGTGTTCCTTCTCATGTTGATGACATGGTTTCTAAGAAATGCATGGATGTTAAGAAGGTAAAAAGCTATTTATTTTGTTCATAATACATCAAAGTTTAGTTTACATTTGACTATGTGCTAATATTAATGTTGTTATATTATTAGGAATTTGATACCTTTGAAAGTGAGAAGTCTACCACTTCTTGCCAATAGTCTCAGCTACAGTTGTATTTGGATGAGCCTAAAGTAGTCAGGAAGATAATTTTGAATGTTCTTGATTTTTGGAAAGCAAACCAATTTTGATATCCTGAACTATGTATTTTGGCTTGTGATGTACTATCTATTCCAATATCTACAGTTGCTTCTGAGGCATCATTTAGTGTTGGTGGTAGAGTGCTTGATCAGTATCGTAGTGCTCTCAAACCTGAAAATGTTGAGACACTCATTTGTACACGAGATTGGATATTTGGTGAACAAGGTATATTTCCCATCATCTTATTTATTGTATTTGTTTATTTTTATGATTTGCTGAAGTCTTATGGTTTGAATTGCAGAAAATTCCACTTTAGCACCAAACTTGGAAGAATTGACTGAGGATATTAGCAAGATGGACATGAATCCCTCCCAATCTGTTGAGTGTTCAAATACCATCAATGTTGGTGGCTGAATATTATTGGAGCTGGGAATATCATTTGTATTTTATGTTGTAATTTAATCAAAGTTTTTTGTTTGATTTGGAGTGAACTGATGAATTTGTATTTGAAGTTTTTTAATTCCAGTGTGATTTTGGAATGTTTATAACATGACTATTTTCATCAAAAAAGAAATAGAACATTTTAGATTTTAAGCAAGTTATTAAACAGGTTATTGAGTAGGTTACCTATTTGTGACCTAACTCAACTTGTTTAGTAAACAGGTAGACGGGTTGTCAACCCATTTATAAATGGGTCATGTTTGGGTTTGGAATTCTTAACACGTTTAATAAATAAGTCGTGTGCGAGTTGAGGATTTTTGACACGTTTAAAAGTTTGACACGACACTATCCATTGCCAACCCTAAATTATGACTGTGTAGAGTTTTTTTTTTTTGTTTTGTCTGAACCACGAGGTGGTCCTGGATGGGCCCCAACTATGAGTGGCACCTTTAAGCCTTAACCACAACCCAGACTAATCCCCGTTCACACCGGGTTGGCCCGTAAGGGGTAAAGTGCTAGCCAAAGTGGTGACTTTGTACAAGAGCAGGGATCGAACCCCTGACCTCTCTTAAGGAATGAGAGTGCCGAACCACTCACACCAACCACCTTGGTTACTGTGTAGAGATATTTCAATTCACTTTAAAGTACATACTTTGGAAAAATTTATCTCTAGCTTAAAATTTGGGTGAATTGGGAAGAATTTGGCTCAAATGGGCCAAAATATCCCTCTACGTGAGGGCATGTAGTCAAAACTTAATAGAATTGGAAGGAATTTTAATAAAAATTGAATCATATCATTGAATTGCTTTGAATTAAAAATTACTAAGAATAAAATTAGCAAAATTGAAAAGTACAAATATAAAATTGATAAAATTCAAACTATGTTATAATACTAGATAGAATGGATGCTTACCACACTCTAGAAATGCTCTAATGACTCACCCCAACTTCCATTCTATAATGTATATGCCTACCACTATACCACTATAGTTATTATTTATATATCACCTATGCCTATAAATAGGCTTCTAAGATGAATAAGAATACAGAAGAAAAACCGAACCAAGAGCACATTCCTAGCTCTTTTCTCTATATCATATTATCTGAAATTCTCTCTCAATTTCCCTTAAGTTTATAAGACGTTATCAGCACGAGTTGCTCATCAACCAAAGTTCTTGGAGAATTTCAATCTTGGTATATCCTCCCTTTATAATTCTTATCAACTTTTCAATACATTTGTTTCACTAATGATATTTTATGAAGTTTATGGCTAATGGTCTATTTGGACAAAGTTCTTCCAAAAGATGATAACAGGAAAATTTCTATATTCAAAATTCTATCTAACCTTTTATTTGTTAGACCCTATATATATATGTACCTTTTATTCTCAGTTTAGTGGAGTGGTTTTTAACCCCCATGTTTATTTTTAAAGTGACGATTTTTATCCCCACATTTATTTACTTTATCGCACATTTACTTTATCATTGTATGATGTGGAATAAACCCTCATACAATAAGTAATTTACTTTATGAATTTACTTTATCATTGTATGATGTGGAATTAACCCTCATACAATAAAGCAATTTACTTTATGAACTTACTTTATCGTACATTTACTTGTATGATGTGGAATAAACCCTCATACAATAAAGCAATTTACTCTATGAATTTATTTTCCAAGCTTATAAGAATGAGGGCCCGAAGTTCCTCAATCTCGAGTCTCGAGCCTGAAGTTTCAAGCATACCACATTTTTTGGCCAGAAGTTCAAAAATGAATACCATAATAAGAACTTAACAGTACACTATTGCAAGTACTGACGCATCTTAATCTTTCTATATAGATGGCGAACTTGGCTAAGTTGGAATTTGCCGCATTGGACATATCTAGCAATAATTACCTTCTATGGGCTCTCGATGCCAAGCTCCACTTAGAAGCACATGGCCTTGGAGACACCATCAGGGATGAAAACAATTCATCTCCTGAACAGAATGCAAAAGCCATGATATTTCTCCGCAGACATATCCATGAAGGATTAAAAAGCGAATACCTAGTGATTGAAAATCCACTAGAGTTATGGAAGGCCTTGGAGGAAAGGTATAATCACCAGAAAACAGTGATCCTACCAAGAGCTCGCTATGAATGGACACACCTGCGATTTCAGGATTACAAAACAGTGTCTGAATATAATTCTGCCATGCACAGAATTACTTCTACAATGAAATTGTGTGGAGAAAATATCACTGATGTTGAAATGCTTGAAAAGACATTCACCACATTTCATGCCACAAATTTGCTCCTGCAACAGCAATATAGAGAACGTGGCTTTACAAAGTACTCACAGTTGGTGTCATGCCTTCTGTTAGCGGAACAAAACAATGAACTTCTGTTGAAAAATCATCAATCTCGACCAACAGGTTCTGCACCATTCCCAGAAGTGAATGTTGTCTCCAAAGGAATAAATACCACCTTTTCACGTGGAAATACGTACAAACGTAGACCAAGAGGTGGACGAGGCAGAGGAAGAAGGAATGATAATCATTCTGTTGGCCTGAGTGCGAGGAATGATTCAGTCCCTAAAAATGCATCCCAACATAAAGGGAAATTTTATATGAGGAACAACTCCACACCTAAAACTATTGAGGGAATTTGCCATAGGTGTGGTAGTAATGGACATTGGGCTCGTATATGTCGTACACCCCAACACCTTGTGGAACTTTATAAGTCCTCACAAAAGGAAAGGCAAACTGAAGTAAACTTTGTTGATCATTTTGATTCAAAGAACAATCCAGAAGGGATTTTTGGGATACAAAGCCAGCTAGAAACGACACACCTGGACATTTCCGATTTCCATGCTTAAAGGAATAAAATGACATCAAATAATTTCCTTTGTTTTAAGTATTGTATAATTATTGTCATTTTTATCTATCCTTGTATAATTAACGTTGCATTTTAAATTCAATAAACTGGTACTGTTTTTCATATATAATATATCTAATAAATATATCTTATTTATTTGAAGGAATGGAAATAATTTCTGGATATTCCCAACGCAAAGATGTCGCAGATTTTTGTCTTGCAGACAGTGCGACTACTCACACGATCCTACAAAATCGAAAATATTTCTCAAACTTGATGCTAAGAAAAGCATGTGTAACAACTATATCAGGTCCAGTAGATCTGATAAATGGCTCAGGAACAGCCCAAATTATGTTACCCAATGGCACAATATTATCCATCAAAACTGCTTTATATGCAGCTAACTCCAAGAGAAACTTGTTGAGTTTTAAGGATATACGTTTGAATAGGTACCATATTGAGACACGAAATGAGAACAAGATAGAATATCTATGTATTATCTCTGGTAATGCCCAAAAACGTATACTCGAGAAATTTTGTGCGCTTTCATCAGGGTTGTATTATACAACTATACAAACAATTGAGGCACATAATGTAATGCACCAACGATGCATTGACCCTAGTATTTTCCAAATGTGGCATGACCGTTTCGGTCACCCTGGATTTACAATGATGCGTCGAATCATTACCAAGTCTCATGGCCACCCTTTGATAAATAAACATATATCATTGTTTGGTAATAGCCATTGCCAGGCTTGTTCAAAGGGGAAGTTGGTAATCAGACCATCTCAATGCAAGGTTGATGTTGAATCTCCATCATTCTTACAGAGAATTCAAGGGGACATTTGTGGACCTATTCAACCACCTTGCGGACCATTTCGGTACTTTATGGTCTTGGTCGATGCATCCACACGTTGGTCGCATGTTTGCCTCCTATCCACACGAAATGTGGCATTTGCTAGGCTCCTGGCTCAGATAATAAAGTTAAGAGCCCAATTCCCGGATTATCCTATTAAGTCAATTCGACTAGATAATGCTGGCGAATTTACATCACATACTTTCGATGACTATTGCATGTCATTAGGCATTGAGGTTGAACATCCTATTCCTCATGTTCATACTCAAAATGGTTTGGCAGAGGCTTTAATTAAACGTCTTCAATTCATAGCCCGTACTTTGCTAATGAAGACTAAGTTACCCATTTATGCCTGGGGACATGCCATTTTACATGCAGCATCATTAGTAAGATTGAGGCCCATTGGAAATAACCAATACTCTCCGATACAACTTGTATTTGGAAATCAGCCTAACATTTCACATTTACGAATTTTTGGTTGTGCGGTTTATGTACCTATTGCACCGCCCCAACGTACTAAGATGGGTCCTCAACGAAGAGTGGGAATCTATGTTGGTTTTGATTCACCCTCTATCCTTCGATATTTGGAGCCTTTGACAGGTGATGTTTTTACCGCACGGTTTGCGGATTGTCACTTTGATGAGACACACTTCCCGCCGTTAGGGGGAGAAAAGGTTGTTCATGAAGAACGGCGTGAATTATCATGGGATGTACCCACTTTGTCTCATCTCGATCCTAATACCACTCAATGTGAAAATGAAGTGAAGAGGATAATTCATCTCCAAAGAATTGCCAATCAACTACTAGATGCATTTAATGATGCAACAAAAGTGACAAAATCATATATTCCAGCAGCAAATGCACCTGCTAGGATTGATATACCTGTCAAACAGCATAACGTTGCAGCAAATGATTCATCAACTGCACGTCAGAAACGTGGCAGGCCATTAGGCTCGAAGGATTCAGCCCCTCGAAAAAGAAAGGCAATGGCAAAAATGAATCCAAAGGAAATTGATCATGAAAAAGAAACAAATATGGAACCCACAGTCCATGATCTAAATGCCATTGAAAAGGCACAAATATTTCCTGAAAAGGACAATGTCGTAGATCTGACAAATGTCCCGGGGAATGAAATGGTACCTAAAAATCAAGAGATCTCCATAAATTATGCATGCAATAACAAATTGTGGGATCGAAATGAAATAATCATCGATGAAATGTTTTCATTCTCAGTGGCTAATGAGATCACAGAAGACGATGACGTTGAGCCTCGCTCCGTCGATGAATGTAAACAAAGAAATGATTGGCATAAATGGAAAAATGCAATCCAGGCAGAACTAAGTTCTTTAGAAAGACGGAGTGTTTTTGGATCAATTGTTCTGACCCCACCCAATGTTAAACCTGTGGGTTATAAGTGGGTATTTGTGAGAAAACGCAATGAGAAAAATGAGATTTCAAGGTATAAAGCACGCCTCGTTGCACAAGGGTTTTCACAAAGGCCTGGGATTGACTATGAGGAAACATACTCTCCAGTAATGGACACAATCACGTTCCGTTACCTCATAAGTTTAGCGGTTTCAGAAAAACTTGACATGAGACTCATGGATGTCATTACCGCATATTTATATGGAGATTTGGATACTGATATTTACATGAAAATCCCAGAAGGATTCAAGTTGCCTGAAGCAACTAATACTAAAACACGGGGCATGTTCTCAATAAAATTGAGGCGATCATTGTATGGTTTAAAACAATCTGGTCGAATGTGGTACAATCGCCTCAGCGAATATTTACTCAAAGAAGTATATACCAACAATCCTATTTGCCCTTGTGTGTTTATTAAGAAATCGGAATCTGGTTTCGCAATTGTGGCAGTATATGTTGATGACATGAATCTTGTTGGCACTCCAGCAGATATTCAAAGGACTGCTGAATATTGTCTGCCGCGCAAATCTCACGGCCTGGAGTTCCGGGCCGAGGGGATGTACGTTAACACGGGGTTTCCTGCTTTTGGGTGCGGTGCGGTTGTGCGCGGGCGTGCCAGCACGGTTTACCGTGCGTTGATGTTTCGATGAGCGTTGGATGGGTGAATGGTGCGCCTGTTTGATCTGTCTTCCTGGTCAAACGATTGTAGCCGAGAGAGGAACTGGTCTCGGCTGTTAGGTTCACGGCCTGAACTACAAGGCCGTCGAGTGATGGTGTTGGTGGTGGGTTTTGGGCGGTGCTCCGGCGCGCTGCTCAGGGAGCGACGGTCGTGTGATATATGGGGTGAGTGAACGAACAAACAGAGATGGTGCTCCGGCGCCTTGAAAATCAAGGGTCGTATGATATATTGATGAATGGATTCTGCTTACAACCTAACACTACTCCTAGGAAAGCAAGTAAAGATATTGAAAGTGCATTACAGAAGAAAATAAGTTGCTCCGTGGGAGGCTTGTTTTGCTGTTTGAACCCTTTGAATGTAGCTCGAGTCTTGTATTTATAGGAAGAGTCCCTGGATGAGTAATCGAGGCTGAAATTACGCATAGTGGAGTCTGATTAGCGCAAGTGGGTAGTTCAATCGACATTTGGGATCGTGAAGTATGGTGATGAGACCCCAGAAATCCTGGTGAATCTCGGCCGCCGCGCTCAATCGTGGGTTCTGAACCTCTGGCCGTGGAGACGCATTTGTTGCCTGGATAGCTGGTGAACCAACATCTCAAGCTGTCAGAATTCTTGTGAGAATGTCCACGTCTAATCACTCTGATCTTCATCACCAAATCCTGACTTCAGTCACTTCCCCCTCATGCATTAAATGCTACTTTGTGGCCAATGGGTTTTGCTGCATTAAACAGGCACTACTTCATTAAATGAAGCCTGGGACCCTGCTGTCACGTGATGATTTGCCTTTAATGTCTTGGCCGCAATTTTGTTCGGCCTCGGCCTCGGCCTACGTTTGAGGCCGAGATGATCATGCCTTAGCATTTCTTCTTTTATTTTAAAAGAAGGCGAAATGCCCTGGCGAAACGCTGCGTTTCAGCCTCTGCGAACAAGTGCCAGGGCCGAGAGAAGGGGCTCATTCGGCCAGCTCATGGCCGGGATTTATCAGGCACAAACAAATATTTGAAACAAGAATTCGAAATGAAAGACCTTGGGAAGACACATTATTGTCTAGGGCTACAGATAGAGCATACTGATAGAGGAGTTCTTGTCCATCAATCAGCTTACACTGAAAAGGTATTTAAGCGATTTGGAATGGACAAAGCCTATCCTCTCAGTACCCCAATGGTCGTTAGATCTCTTGACACTAAGAAAGATCCATTTCGTCCAAAAGACGAAAATGAACCCATCCTTGGTCCAGAAGTGCCATATCTTAGTGCCATTGGTGCTTTATTATATTTAGCACAATGTACGAGACCAGATATCGCTTTTTCAGTAAATTTGTTGGCACAATATAGTATTGCTCCAACCATTCGACATTGGACTGGCATCAAGCATATTCTACGATACCTTCGTGGAACAACAGGTATGGGCTTATTATATGAACATAACAATGGGCATAGTATTATTGGATATGCAGATGCAGGGTATCTCTCTGATCCACATAATGGTCGTTCCCAAACTGGATATGTATTTACCTGTGGAGGGACGGCAATCTCATGGCGTTCCATAAAACAGTCATTAGTGGCTACATCATCCAATCACTCAGAAATACTTGCACTACATGAAGCTGGTCGTGAATGCGTTTGGTTAAGATCAATGATTCATCACATACGGAGCACATGCGATCTACCTTTGGTTACAAATACTCCAACAGCCATCTATGAAGATAATGCTGCTTGTATCACTCAAATCAAAGCAGGATACATCAAGGGAGACAGGACCAAACACATATCACCAAAGTTTTTTCACACACACGAACTTCAGGAGAAGCAAGAAATTGAAGTCAAACAGATACGTTCAAATGATTATCTGGCAGACCTTTTCACCAAATCTCTACCAAAACATACATTTCGAAAACTGGTGCACGGGATTGGATTACGCCGACTTTACAATCAGTAAAATGGATGCATACTTATCAGGGGGAGATATTCATCAGAAACAAGGGGAGCGTGCTATTAACAAAGTCTCTATACACTGTACTCTTTTTCCTTCGTCCAGGTTTT